AGGCTGTCTAGTACTCCCTGGCTTTCCAGTGGTTCTCTAACTGACGTTAGCTAAGGATCAAAAATGTGACCAATCCAATTCCTGCAAATCAAGACTTGAAAACAGTGTCATCAGACAACTGTACTCCAAAAAAAGATTTTCAAAACAGAGTGAATGAGACAGACCACGAAGAATGATTGTGCTACAATACCCTTATGATGACATTTACAGCTGACTGAGCAATATAGATTATCCTTTATGGGTTTACACTTATTCAAACTACCAGAAAAAAGAGACCTAAGTCAATGCAAGAACTGGCGCGGAATTATGCTCCTGTCCATCCCAAGCAAAATACTAAGCCGCATCATCCTGGAGAGAATCAAACAAGCCAACCTGGATGAAAAACTTCGACCGGAACAGGCTGGATTCAAGAGAAACAAGTCATGCATTGATCAAATCGCCACATTACGGATCATCATTGAACAAAGCTTTGAGTGGCAGTCACCTCTCTATCTCAACTTCATCGACTTTGAAAAAGCCTTTGACAGCGTCGATCGAGAGGTGATTTGGCAACTACTTCGCTACTATGGGGTGCCACCGACAACTATACATCTCATCCAACAGCTGTACGACAATGCTGCATACCAAGTAATCCACAACGGGAAACTTACGGAATCCTTCGAAGTGAGGACAGGAGTAGGACAAGCTGGCTGGCTGCCTACTATCGCCAATGATTTTCCTGATTGCGGTAGATTGGATAATGTGATAAACATCGGCGGGCAATGGGGAAACAGGCATGAAATGGACTCACACAAAAAACTTGGAGGATCTGGATAGGGATTCCTCCGATGATATATGTCTGATTTCCCAAAAACTGGAAGATATGCAAGTGAAAAGCGACAAGTTGGCAGAAGAAGCATCCGAAGATGATAGGACTTCAGGTGAACATTGAGAAAACAGAGGTGATGAAGATTCCCGGACAAGAACAACAACAACAGACAACAATCAGCCAGCATAAATGGAAGGAACCTGAAAGAAACAACCTCTTTTACCTACCTGGGAAGCATCGTTTCAACTACTGGCGGAACTGATGAGGGTATCAAAGGAAGAATCGGAAAAGCAAGACAACCTTTCACTACTCTAAAGTCTGTGTGGAGGTCAACAGCACTCAACATCAAAACGAAGATAAGATCCGGATTTTCAACTCCAATGTGAAGTCAGTCAGTGCTACTATACGGATGGATCAGAGACTTGCACTGCGCGTCATAAAGAGCACCCCAAACACACTACAGACCTTCATTAACAGTTGTCTTCGCTCAATACCACTCAAGATCAGATGGCCGGCCAGAAAAGATCAGCAACAGAGATCCCTGACAATGAGCGGACCAACTCAGCAGGAATCGATTGTGAAACGAATAGGCAGGAAGAAATGGAGGTGGATTGGTGGCCGTACTCTGAGGAAACAAACCATCAAGTGACATCACTAGAGAAGCCATTGCTCGAGTGGAACCCGAAAGGGAAGCGGCGAGTTGGTCGTCAGTGCGAGGTTGGGTGACTTGGAGGAGGTGATGTGAAGAGGAGATGTTAACGTGTGGGCAGACATGGAGTCAGGTGAAGACTCTAGCAGAGAACCGAACGCAGTGGAGACGCACGGCTGAAGTCCTATGTTCTTCTAGGAACTAAAGGAAACAAAATAATATAATAATTAGAGAAAGATTAGTGCTATGGTCGAGTAAGCGATTCAAATTCGATTTTTAGCGCAAGCGTTTGCTATAAAATCATTGGTGCATTTAGGCCTGCCTGTCGAGTGCTTATTCTTTAACCTTGTCAAGCTGAAATTCTTCTGAGTACTTGCTGACAATATATTTGGTAAATAAATGACTTTATAAGAAAGAATTCAGCTACTTGTAAGAAACTTTTTCATGTACTATACTTAAAGGCGCACTTATTTTGTTAGAACTGATGAAACCGCCCAAACTGAATTAGAGTTCAAAGCATCAAACACTTGAACCAGTTAGCTATATTCCTACTAGGGTATTAGATATGTAAATATACTAACACGAATGGGGTATCTGATAACCATGACAAGTGTCGCTGTGATGACCCTCAAGTGGAACCCAATTGAGAAGTAACGGACTGTGCATCCGAGGGTAATACAGAAAAGATGGTGTACGATGAAAGCTTGCGGGTAATCATGGAGCCAGCCGAAAATGAAGCCAAATGGAGATATACTGCTGAACACCTATGGTCCACTTGCAAGGAATAATAATTACCTAAGATGCCTACCTCCGTGGTGCAATGGGTTAGAGTGTGGTGGTTCAAGCCCATGCGGGGGATGCTAGCAGTTTTGACGCCACACATTGTCAACTTCAAAGTTGTTGACACATGACGCACAAAATTTACCCGACCCACAAGCTCTCATCTACTCTATTGGACAACGTGTGTGTTTCCAACCAAAACATATTTCTATTTCTCCACCGGTAGTAGGATTCTCGCTAGCCACGCATGTGGTCTGGGTTCGATTCCTAGTCGAAACACTCTTAAACGTCGCTTAGGTCGGTCGGTCTTCGACATAGAACTTTGCACATAAGTGCGGCAATTCAAGTCGCCACACTCCCTTCATGTAGCACACAAAGCAAGAGAAGAAAGTAGGAGAAATGCATAATATAGACAGTAAACAGAGGTGTGAGACAAAGGTATAGTAATAACGAAGAACAAAACAGTTTCATTGGAAATCATAAGTCACAAGGAGTGGATGCATCTGCGCCACTGAGAACGATGTTTAGTCATGTCACAACCAGGAAGTCTACACCTTCCTACGTGCCTTAGACTAACTGTTGTGGATTTCATTGACTGGTGACATGTTTTGCTTTGACCGCCGGTAGCTCTTTTCCAGCCTGGCCCTATATCAGCTAACATTGCCCATTGTCGAGGAAGGCGATGGCTAGGCGTACACGCGTAACACATGTCCTAACCATCTCAGTCGATGTAATTTCACAGTCTCGTCGACTGATTTCCCCTCCTTACCTAGCACTCCACCGATGCCTTACCTCAATATTGCTCACCTTATTGTACCACTTCACGCGGGAGATAGAACGCGAACGTCGCTTAACTGGTAGTCGGCCGTGTAAAGAGGAAGGGTTGGGTGTAAGGCTTAATTTCACCAGCATAAAAAACACCACTGCTAGTGAAACTTCAAAGCTTGAATTTGAAGCCCTATTTTCCACCACATAGTTAATGAATTGATCTTTCACCATTAGAAAGAATATTACGAATTATTATGTCAAAGTCACACTGTCTTCATAGACAGATAGTTTGAACTCTTTTAAATCAATCAATCTTTATTATCTGTGATGACGGCCACAATCTCAATCAGTTACTGCAAATATTCAACAAATGCCATCCATCCAACCACAAAGTTCACACTCTTGAAATTGAAAACGAATCTAAAATCCCTTTTCTTGATGTTGAACTTACAAGGAGAGCTGACGGAACTTTAAGAAGGTCTATACATAGGAAACCCACATATGGAACGGCCAACTGACAAGCTTCTACAGCTGGGTACAAATCAGTCGAAAAAGAAACTTAATTAGATCTCTTGCCACTCGTGTCCAACGCATCTGCAGCTCTTATACCCTCGAAGAAGAACTAGACTTCCTCAAAGAAACCTTCATACTAAACGGTTACCCATCAAGATTCGTAGACAAAAACATCAAACAAAAAATCCAAAAGCAAGAGACAGAATCCGTGACAAAAAAGATACTTTATATGAACCTCGACTTCAAAGGAGACCTACTCAGTGACGTCCTTAGAAGGAGAATCTCCACCTCTCTAAAAAGAACTTTCTTTGTGGCAACATTGAGAGTAGTGTTCTCTAGTCGCCCACTGATCTGCAGAAGCCCAAAAGACAAGATCCCACACCTGACCACTTCTATGTGTATATATCAGTTCACCTGTTGCTGTGGAGCCAGGTACATCGGTGGTTCAATGCTCATCCTGTCAAAAAGGGTCAAAGAACACTACCCAGTGTGGCTGCAGGAGTGCAATAATCGAACACCTCGTCAACACTGGTTATTCCATCTCAACAAACGCCTCCTACTTCAAAGTAATCTACAAAGTGAAGAACAACCTTCCAAAGACAGCACGATTCCGTCTTCTTTGCATTGCAGAAGTCCTAGCCATTAAGCTAGAGGAACCAGAACTGTGCACACAAAAGAAAATTATGCAACCACTTCTACTCTCATGGTAACAACTGTGTTGATTTGACTTAACTTTTGTTTGTATGCTTATTTTTCTAACTACTTAAAACCCTTGCGTAATTCCGTATGTCATTTTGTTTCTATGTACACCCTGAGTACAACTCTTTCATCAAACTATTCACGATATTACGTAACTCTTCTTTAACAATCGTGTGACAACTCATCACTTCTTTTACTACTCTCTTATATCAACATCCAATTCATTTGAACCTACGCACACATACAAAACAATCATATATATTTGCGATGGTACAGCTATGAAAACGAATTCGCCGAAAAGAGACTCTTCGCTGAATTACTTATCTTCTGTCTAATAATGTTCGAATGGGAATTTTCCATGAATTAAATCAATTATATAGAGAAGCTATGAAGTATTTTCTCAAATCGTGACTATTTTGTCCCCAAATTACTTTTTAATGAACACTAGGGGGAAGAACTTGGAAGAATACAGACGTTTGACAAATTACAGCCGGACTGGTGGTCTACCTACGGGAGCTGGGAAACACTGATTCCAAATATATGGTGCACACGGGCTCCAGAAAAAGTGGAGTATGGACCTGTCTTGGTTACTGTCAAACATGGGGACGCAACTCCAATTTCTAATGAATTAGAGTTAAAGTCAAAGGGTCGATGGTGACAACCTGCTTCGATCCAAGTGTCTCAGCAGTACCCCAGCCCTCACTCAAACTATCAGATTTTGTGTGCAGCGTCTATTGTTGCCCATAATATATCAAGTTTTTGTTTTAACAAATAGGGTAAGCATGCCAAATGAACCGTCATGTTTAGAAACGATTACATGTGTGTTAAAACAAACAAATCATTTTTTCTTGGACTGTTCACAAGCACTTTATTTCACAAATACAACCGGTTTCACATTTTGAACATTAGAGCAAGCCAAGGGCGTGTTGAATGCATTGTTATTGATTTAATTTCTGACAGCGTTAATCTACAAAAAATAAGTAAAATAAAACACGTGAGATTTTATAACCCAATAACCCAAAGATGGGCAGATTTGATACTTTAATCAAACAGTCTTGCATGAAAGAACATTTTTGAAAGTGTATCAGAATATTTGCGTCGGTTGTTCAGTGGTGGGACACTCACTCGCCAACTATGCACGTATTCCGGGGTTCGATTCCCAGCCGACGCACTGTTTAATCACACTTAGCTGGCGATAAGACTGGTGAAGAGAGGGGGGTTGAGCGTGAGGCTAGCAAACCCACCCCGTGAGAAAATAGCGCCACTGCTATTGAAACATCAGGACTCAAAATTGAAGTCATATGTTCCCCTCGAAACACAAAGGAATAAAACTAAACCTGTTAACTATCAGCACAGAGTATATTAGTCTTTCGTAGGCACTTAATGGCCATGCTATTTGGTTTAAATTTATGCACTGGATAACTACGCGTTTACTTAATGAGACCGATTCATGAGTGACTGACAACTCACTCTAGAACTCAGCACAGAATTAACATCATAATCTGTCGATATATGGATGATACATTTGTGGTTATGAAAGACGAGAATGATGCAATGAATATCCTTGACAAGTTTAATGATGCACATTCAGCAATAAACTTTAACATAGAGAAAGAAAGTAATGACAGTATCTCACTTCTAGACGTCTTCATGGCAAGGAAAGAAGATGGCACACTAAGAAGGAATGTGCATAGGAAACCTACAACAACAGGTCAGTACACCCATTTTTTGAGTTTTGTACGTTTGAAATATAAACGTAACCTGGTAAAGTGTCTGGTTCATAGGGCTAAGTTAATCTGTTCAGACGACTGTCTCAATGAGGAGCTTAAGATTATTAGAGAATTACTTAGAAAAAATGGTTATCCAGATAAATTCATTGAGAAAAATATGAACTCAGCAGCAAAGACAGTCAGTATGGTTACAGTTGCGAAAAAACAATGTTCATAAAATTGCAGCTCCTCCGTGACAAAATCAGCAAAATAATAACACAATGCTTGAAGAATGCAGTTAAAAGAGCTTATTATGCAGCAGAGGTACGTTGTCTCTTCAAAACCACCCCGATTCTATGTTCGAGAAATAAAGATAAACTACCTAAATTTGCCTCTTCTATGTGTATCTACCAGTTTGACTGCAGCTACATTGGGCGTACAATTAGGCAGGTTCATCGTCGTATTTCCGAACATCATCCAGCATGGTTAGGCAAGGGACAAACAAGACCTATTCGTAGTTCTATTTTAGCACACCTTGTTGATACTGAGCACAAGGTCGATGTGAATACTGCATTTAAAATTATTTATCGCATTCCAACTAATCTTAACTTTGCTCTAAGATTTAGTCTTTTACAGACAGCTGAAGCAATTGGAATCCACCAGAAGAAACCAAGCCTATGTGTTCAGAAGGAATTTGTACAGCCACTTTCCTTACCGTGACCATCGTTACAAGAATGCATAAACAAGACTACGTCGCCCCCTCCCCCCAAAACCTATAAAAATTATAATTGTCCAAATTATTTTATTTTTATTTATTTTGACCACTTCATCTTTAACTAAGTGTTATCCTTGTAAAATTAATTTATTCTAACCATTTCTACCTTTTAAATGTGTATTGATAATCTGAGTTGCTACACTTCGAGAAAACTCGTAATTAAAAAAGTAAAGGAACCTAATGTTTAAAATGCATACAAGGAAATTTAGTGAAGCTTTACATGAACTGAAAGATTGCAAACGGCAGTCAAAACGCATTTACATCATTATGGAAGAGTTCAAGTTCATAACGCGTGCTTAAGACCTAGAGAAGACAACTGACAACAACATCCTTCCCTAGACGGTTTATACTCTTAATTAGTCAATTACTGCATGATATTTCTTTATCATTCAAGAAAGCGCATGAGATTTGATTTCGATACTTTGATCGACGATAGAATACATGTCAGAGTAACACTTTCTTTTATCTTATTATTATTGTTTCCTTTAATTCCTAGAAGAACATAGGGCTTCAGCCAACCGTCTCCATTGTGTTCGGTTCTCTGCTAGAGTCTTCACCTGGCTACAAGTCTGCCCACACACCTTCATCTCCTCTTCACATCACCTCCTCCAAGTCACCCACCCTCGCACTGACGACCAACTCGCCACTTCCAATACAGTCGGGTTCGAGCAATGGCTTGTCTAGTGATGTCACTTGATGGTTTGTTTCCTCAGAGTATGGCCAGCCAATCCACCTCCATTTCTTCCTGCCTATTCGTTTCACAATCGATTCCTGCTGAGTTGGTCCGCTCATTGTCAGGGATCTCTGTTGCTGATCTTTTCTGGCCGGCCATCTGATCTTGAGTGGTATTGAGCGAAGACAACTGTTAATGAAGGTCTGTAGTTTGTTTGGGGTGCTCTTTATGACGCGCAGTGCAAGTCTCTGATCCATCCGTATAGTAGCACTGACTGACTTCACATTGGAGTTGAAAATCCGGATCTTATCTTCGTTTTGATGTTGAGTGCTGTTGACCTCCACACAGACTTGAGAGTAGTGAAAGCTTGTCTTGCTTTCCCAATCCTCGCTGCTTTGATATCCTCGTCAGTTCCGTCGGCCTGTAGTTGAAACTATGCTTCCCAGGTAGGTAAAAGAGGTTGTTTCCTTCAGGTTCCTTCCATTTATGCTGATTGTTGTCTGTTGTTGTTGTTGCTGTTGGTGGTGTTGGCCAGGAATCTTCATCACCTCTGTTTTCTCTATGTTCACCTGAAGTGATGTCCTATCTTTGATGCTTCTTCTGCCAACTTGTTGCTTTTCGCTTGCATATCTTCCAGTTTGTGGGAAATCAGATATATGTCATCGGCGAAGTCCAGATCCTCCAAGTGTTTTGTGTGAGTCCATTTTATGCCTGTTTCCTCATTACCCGCCGCTGTTTGTCGCATTATCCAGTCTACTGCAATCAGGAAAATCATTGGCGATAGTAGGCAGCCAGTCAGCTTGTCTTACTCTTGTCCTCACTTCGAAAGGTTCCGTAAGTTTCCCATTGTGGATTACTTGGCATGCAGCATTGTCGTACAGCTGTTGGATGAGATGTATAGTTGTCGGTGGCACCCCATAGTAGCGAAGTAGTTGCCAAATCACCTCTCGATCGACGCTGTCAAAGGCTTTTTCAAAGTCGATGAAGTTGAGATAGAGAGGTGACTGCCACTCAAAGCTTTGTTCAATGATGATCCGTAATGTGGCGATTTGATCAATGCATGACTTGTTTCTCCTGAATCCAGCCTGTTCCGGTCGAATTCTTTCATCTTGGCATGATGAAATGGACGATACACAAAAGAATCTAACAACATAAGGGAAGTCCATAAACACACTTATCAAGAAAATTCAAAGAAGCTTTCACATTACTTCAAATCGGTAGCAGAAGCAGAGGAAGAGTGGACACTGAAGCACGCTCTTCGTCTGTTTTGATTTCGAATTAACATATGATAGAATCTCAAGCCACGGAGTAGTAGTATGAACACTCAAGCAACACCGATGAATTTATGATGATGCACTAATTTAGGTAGCCTGTATATTATCAAACGATATGACGATGCCTGTTTACTCAGAATTGTCATACTGCAGATCTTAACTGGTGCCATGCATACTTAATCACTAGATCTTCAGAATTTCATCGAAAGTAAACATAAGGAGCAGATAGACAAACATCGTCTACACTTTTTGCTGGTTAAGAACGGTGGTGTAATAAAACCTAAAGTATTGGGTGATATTAGAACTGAGTGGTTTACGGTACTCACGTCAAACAGTAGTTGAAAACATTTATTTCCCGATACGAATTTAAAACAAGCAATAAAGGTTAAGGTTCTCGATACTTCAAACTGCGTATATCAATTTGAGTGTGTTTGTAGAAGCAAATAAATAGGTCGTACGGAAAGGAGATTGTCTACTCGCATGATGGAACATTTGCCAAAATGGTTGAAAACAGCTGAGTGTAAAGTGCCGAAATCCTCAATAACAAAGCATATTGTGGATTACGGACATGATATCGACGCGGTTAAGTCATTCACCATTGTCAGCAGACAAAGAAACAAGAAGATGCTTGCAATTGCAGAGGCTTGTGCAATTCCAGTTTACATACCAGGTCTCTGTGTACAAAAGGAGACGATCGTGACTCTGAATCTACCGTGGTAATACGTTTTACTTATAATTCTACCTCTTATTATTATTATTATTCTTGATTCATTTGAAACTATCCTTTATCAGTAGGATTATCTTAACTCACTTCAACACTATTATTATTAGTTATTATAACTATTACTATTGTCATCCCTCTGGTTGCAATTCTTGTTAAATTCTCTAATGTCTAATTGTTTATCTAAGCGGTGTAATTGAAGGGTAATGCAATTTATCTTAATTTTGATCTCTCATACTCTCTCTCTCCCAGTTATCTATTTGAACATGACCTGGAAAAACATTCGCACCTGTCTTTCTGCATGAATAATTCAATGTAGTTTGTTTACTTATCAGTCCTATATCTCCCAATGTAATTTCAAAAGTATATATATCCGTGTATGTAGAGTATTCAGCTGACGAGGAGTTCTACCGAAATTTGATGAATTCATTAAATCATCCTGCTTTATTAACCTTTATTGCTTGTTTCAAACAGTAGGATTTAATGACCGAATCCCAAGTGAGTGATACAAACAGCAGAATGTTTTGTTTGCTCAAGACTGAACTAATCAGCAGTGCGTGTACGTACTCGAGTGATTTCAACTTTGACAGTCAAATCTATTCAAACTATCAGTTTAGACGTCTATAAAACTATGAGAATATTCATACTGTATTCGGGTTGCTCTGAATAAAGCCGTTTACTAACGGAAGAAGGAGTAAATTGCTTCCCATCCTTGGTCGGCGTCAACTAAGTCACTGAGAATAATAAACTCGGTTCATTTACATGAAGCGTTCAATATGAGAAACAAAACAGAAGTGAGGAGGAGAGAAAGCTTACCACATCATCTATCTTCAAAATGCTACGCACAGTTTCAGTGGCTAAAGTAACAGCACTATAGCTGACCAATAAAGGTTGAATTACATTTTGAGCTAAAATATCAACAACAGCACCCTAAAAAGAAAACAAAATTAAGATTAAATTGTTTCAATGAGAAAAGGGAGAATGGAAAATAGGATAAATTAAAATACACTTCTTAGTGGAGTATACTTTGCTTGTGACACAAAAAGGGAAAATAACTGCCTACCGTCAAATAGACTGAAAGTGTGCAAACACACAGTGTAGCCACCTATCAACTTATTATTGGGGATCTTCAATGATCAAAACTCTCAAAATACGAAAATAATAATCGTGTTTCTGTTCAACTATTATACAAATTAGCTTTTTTGTTACTCATAAGTAGGATACAATTAAATTTCACGACATAAAGGTGAACGTCGAAAATGTATACGTTTATATGTTACATAACAGTTAAGTACACTTTTTAAAGCTTTCAAATTACAATCTGTACAAGCACTAGAGAAAAAACTTGGCGAATGCGAACGTCTGACGCTTAGTACTGAGAACGCAACTCCACGCAACTACCTTGTGGATCAGCGTTGAACTCAAAGGGTCGGGACTGCCCCTAAAGACAACCATCACCAATTTTGCTTATGGGCGTACGGACAGTATCTCAGGCTTCGCAGAAGCTATGGAATTCCGTGTGGCGTATCTGTTGGCGTCCAAAATGCACCAAGTTTGTTTCAACAGTAATAATTTTAGTAATCTTAGTGTAAGTGGTGATGCATCTAACAATCAAAATAAGAGTGAATACTCATTGATTCACAGTATCACTTTAAAAATGCACACTGTGGCGAGAGCTGGCTGCTAGCCAAAGTTGGTAGACAGTAATTGACGTCAATGTTTATGTCCCCAATATCGGTGGTGAGAAAATGAGAACAAAGGCTTTGCGTAGGCGGATACATTTAGCATATGGATGATCTGACACAGCCACAAAGAGATGCAAGGTTAACTTTCGGTGAGAAACAACCAATCAAAAGACTGTATTTTCTACTAACAATAATCTACAATAATGTACATTAAAATCTATAAATATGTGTTGATTTTCCTTAATAAACGATCTGTTGCCTGGCCCTTGTCTTCTGTTGTTACAATACAACAGATAGAAAACAGAAGTCCCTGTTTCAAAAGCTGACACTGTTTTATACTGGCCAAAACCGACACGACCAGGTCACCTATATTATTTTAAACCATTATAAATACTCCCACTGACTGATTGGAAGAGGCGGAGAGGGTGGGGGGCAAAGTATTTTAACACTAATACCACTCACCGTACGAGCATTGATCCCAGCATTCTTTTCATTTTTGGCATGAAGAGCTCGTAGTTCAGTAACCGTTTGAATGGGATTTAGACCAGCATTTTCTGCTAATGTATAAGGAACTACTTCAAATGCATCAGCAAAAGCCCGTAAACAGTATTGATCGAGTCCGGGTGTGGTGTTAGCGAAAGCGCCTAACTTTTGAGCAATTTCAATTTCTGGAGCACCGCCACCTGCAATCAATGCTCTGGAAAATAAAGGTAAGTTATAGGAACAAATGAATATATAACGCATATGTGAGATGGATAAACGATTTCAGTTAACAGAAATTCCTCAACTTTAAGTATTCTGATAACTGACAAACCTTATCAACGTAGAAATTTGCACAAAAATATATACATTTAGGCGGCCACACCAATTCGGAAATCCTACATAATTGTGATGAAGTCACAATCTAAAAAGATGTGGTTTGTGGGATGGGGGGAGAATAACTAGACGAAGATTAGTCATAATATTCGGAATCTGCATAATAAAAAGAAGTGAATACACCTTTTACGTAGAACTTTACAAAGAAATACAGCAATTCAACTTACTACAATCTATATAGCACACACACACACAAAGATAGAGAAGTACTTCGAACTTTAATGAATGGAAATATATAGGAGAAAGAATAATTACACGGATAATCATGAGGATTTAATGAATACCTTGTTAGATTACTAAGAGTGAAGGCGTCTACGTCATTAGGGACGATTTTCAACTATATAGAGGACTTCAATCAGACAGTGTACAACTCCATTACGGATAAGATTTTATTTTGATAAATCACACAGTGTTATTTATTACTATTATTGTTCCCTTGGGTTCCTAGTGGAACATAGGGCTTCAAATGCACGTCTCCACTTGCTTCTGTCTTCTGCTGTACTTTTCACCTACATCCATGTTAGTCCGTACTGTTTCAACTCCTCTTCACACGATCTCCTCCATGTCACCCTTGGATGTCCCACTCGCCGCTTTCCTTTCGGATTCCACTCGAGCGTTGGCCTGACGCACGATGTCACCCAGCGGCCTCCTCAGCCAACGAGTGTCCAATCCATCTCCACATTCTCCTGCATATTTGTTGAGCGATTGCTTCTTGTTTTTTTCTTATCGAAGTTTCTTGTTGGTGATTCTTTCCGGCCATCTAATCTTCAGTATAGAGCCAGCGAAGACAGTTAGTTGTTGATAAAGGTGTGCAACAGGCTGTTGGGAATATTCTTTGTGACCCGCCGCCAAGTTTCTGATCCATCCGTATAGAAGAACTGACTGACTTGACGTTTGTATTGAAAATCCGAATTTTGTTGTTGATTCTGGCTGGGTTGAGTGACGAAGATTTCCAGATTGGTTTCAGATTGAATGAATGAATGTGTTTCTCGCCTTCCCGATACTCGATTTGACATCCTCGTCCATTTCACCTGCCTGTAGTTGAGACAATTCTCTCTCCCTAGATGAGTGAATGAAGTAACCTCTTTCAAATCCTTCCCGTTGATGGTGATTGGCTGTGGATGTTGTTGCTGTTGGTTGGTTATTTTGATAACCTCCGTCATGTCTATCTTCACCTGGAGCCCTGTCTTCTCTGGCTACTTCTTCGACCAGTTTGTCGGTTTTCGCTTGTAAGTCTTCGATTTTGTGTGACATCAGACATAAGTCATCCGCGAAATCCAGGTCTTCTAGGTTCTTCACATCGGTCCAGGATATCCCTGTCTTCTCGTTTCCCAATGTCTGACGCATAATGTGATGACGTTTCGAGCACGAACTATTACTCATAATCATAACTTGATTTGATTATGAGCAATACTGTATAACACTGTGTGATTTATCAAAATAAAATCTTATCCATAATGGAGTTATACTCTACCACAGTGCCAAGTTTTATACTTATATCAATAATACAAACAGTGAACACCTCATTACCTGACTCGAATCAATAATCAGAAACTTCATAGATTGATGTAATATTTTCCTTTGATCAGACGTAACTCCTTACGAGCAAAATCCAATTCTAGTCGTTAAGGAAGCTAGCTGCTAGGCATGAGTAACACAAACGATTGAATTTCCTACTTTTCTTAATCGATCTACCAGAAAGAGGGAAGGCAGTATAACTGACTTGCTGGTTGCACGACGTTAAATGTCTTACTGCTGCTGCTGCACTCTTATCCATTGGCAGTACGACTTAACTTTTAGGACTCTCCCCCATCATAGAGTAAGCAACTTGTCCTGTTATATATAGCAACTGCTATCCAGACGATCACTTTTGCATGGTAGGACCTATAAGAACATTCATTTTAGCCTCTGTAGGTAGTCAAGTTATCACGATGTGTACATCCGACCACCACAGCAAAAGGGCAAATATCGATCAGGCAATACATCCCCACACTGTTGCTGAGAATTATATTGAACGTCAAACACACAATTCATCATGCTCATACATCAAAATACAAACTCAAAATTATATAAAAAGTAAACAATCAAGCAAAAAAACTCCAAGTGATTTATAAGCGTTACCTCTTCTTCACCAGGCATCGAATAACACAAAGTGCATCGTGTAGCGAACGTTCAGCTTCGTCTAACACAAGTTTATTGGAACCACGAAGCAAAATTGACACTGTTCTCCCCTTATTTTCAATACCTGTGATGTGAACACAACGGGCAGTCGCCTCTGATTCTTCAACCAAGCTAGCAGAACCCATATATTCTGGGTTGAAATGATCCAGGCTTGCTATTGGTATACAGTGTAGAGTCTACAACAAAGATTTCAAAAAGGCATATAACAGTCATATATGTAAATCTAGTGTTCTTGGTTTTGTGTTAAAGCTGTGTTAGCCAGAAGGAATATTTAAGCTTTTCTATTAAATGGCACAAAATGTAAGCTTACTGGAAAGAAGATATCCATATTTCACTCGAGAACCACTAAAAGAAATGGAAAATTTCCAGTTTCTTTACGAGGTCAAAAACAAAATCGATACTTCGGAAAGCAGTCAGCATTTATATCACGTTGTGATAACCCGAGGAAAAAATGGACCATTTTCTTCCAATCTGGAGCCAACATGGTTTATTGGTCTAGGCGCACAAAGTCCAACCATTGGGGCACGAGTTTCAGCGCCGTCTAACTAACTAAGGCTTAGGCAGCTCTAGGTAGTATCACTAACCTTCACACAAAAAATGTGGCTCACTGCCTACTGCATGGAGTCGTAAACGAGCCGTTTTAGAGCTACCCACCCAGCAGAGCTTGATATAACGTAACTATTACTTAGACGTACCACTGAAATTCTCTCCTAAACTTCTGGACTTTATGGATTAGATTCTCATTAGAACACAAAGATGATCAGCAGTAATTGTCAGCTAGTGAGAAGAATGTTTTTAGGTAGTTTTTGTTTTACTTTTAAACAATCCAGCAGTGCTTCAGCTGGTACTCCAATGTATTTGAAATTCTGAACATTTTCGATATCCTCATTCGATTATTCTTTATTCATACACGTTTGTCCAGTGTATTGTCATTCAATACCATTCTGTTTTGAAGTGTGACAATTTGAAGTGAAATACTCCCATGGACAGGATACGGGCAGACTGGATTTCAACTTTACACTGAAGTGCAGTAGTCCAAGTTGTCCCATTCCATACAACGGACAAAGGTGGAGAGAAAAAATCCAAATGAACTATGATGAACAGGAGAAAGAACAATTTCACGGAGAATCATGAGGATTTAATGGTTTTGCGACGATATAAAGCGTGAATGCCATTGAGTCATATCACTAATAATCTCAAGTCAATGGCTTCTTAACATCCTGATCACCCCACACAGTCAGTCCACACCTCCTTGTGTGGATGGTTGAAAACAACATGGAATGACGCCACGTTTTGGTTTGACTACTCGTTACTCTTTTCCAGCCCAATCCTATATCAGCTAAGATTGCCCGACGAGGAAGACAGTGGACTGGCAGGCACAACACGTAGCCTAGCCATCTCAATTGATGCAGCCTCACAACCTCACCGGCTAACTTATCCTTCTTCTCTAACACTACACCCTTAAATTCATTGCTTACCATAATATACCGCTTAATGCACATGCATCCGTGGTTAAAGACAGCTAGCCTTTTGAGGTCAACCACTTTCAATAGTCACATGTCAGTCATAAAGGACAGAAGGAACTGCAGCACAGTTGAAACATCCTTTGGTGCCTATGCGTATATTAAGTCTACGACGTAATTTGGCAAATGCCACAAGACCCTTTTATATATGTGAGCTCAGATTTCATCAGCAATGCAACTTCCGCAATAAATGAATGAAGTGGGTCAACACACTTAACCATAACACTACCTACTTTAAAACTAGAAGTTCTAGAGTATTGTTTTACATCGGACATGGTTGAGTCACATGCCAAACACGACAAGATTTCTTCTCAGTGTGTTCAAAAGACTGAGTTTTTTCCCGCGTCTTCACCTAGAAGGATAATGTCATCAGCATACTGTAAGTCGATTAGAATAACATCCATTTTTTATAAGCTTCCTACAACAGAATAAACTGATTTAATTTTACAAATACAAAAATGGCTTTATAAGACACTTTAGAAAGCAACTGACATCAAACATTTTGAAGTTAAGCTTACTTTGCATATGAACTCCACTTCAGTACGTTCAATATCTTTAACGACCATTATCTTCATTTTATTGAAATAATGCAAAGCTAGATCATTCACAGCATCTCTTAAAATGCTCTTCTGAATGAGTAGAACATTACAACCAGCCTTCTTAACAGCTTTAACAATATTAAGAATGTATTGTCTTTCTTCTTTCATCACTCTATCCATTTGCGTATAATCTGTAATCACAACACTGTTATCCATCTAAAAATGACAATTATGTCTTCATGATATGATGGAGGAAAAAAACTTACATCAGTTTTAGGAGGAGAGATACAAAACTGAATAATCGCGATTTTAGCTTTTTCCACTCTCTTAACACCGCATGCAGACTCAGCATGCTGGGTAAGTATAAGACCATCGACTAGTTTGGTGTCCTCGACTGTCCCACTATAAAAGAATGTAATATAATACACATGTATAAAAACCAGTATAAACAAACGCAATCAGAAAATAAAGCTTTAATATATGTATATTACTGTCTAAGTAATGCTGACCAACTCTGTCATTACTTTACTGAACGTCTAAATGACTATATAGATTTCAGAGATACACATCGGACAATACATTCCTCCAGCGTCCATATTTTATGTCTGATCTTGAATGTCAACCTGTATATTCATGATTTTATTCGGCATAATCTGTCACACAGTTAACTATGATTATTCAGACAATAGCACAACCCATCCTAACTTTTATCTTGACTGCAACTAGTTGGGTTATGTGGAAGTAATGAAAGGAGTGACCACACTAAGCTGTGAGTATAATACTGATGATTTCGGGTAGCAATGAAGGCAGATTACTACAAGAATGTTTTGCGCATGTAAGCAGCTTAAACAGTATAGAATTAAAAGGAATGAAAAGTGACGTAGCGAAATCAAGATGAAAAACGGCTCACGCGCAGGAAGTGACGGTAGAGACAAGGTGTTAATTCGTTGACTAACTGCATCTTCAGCTTGTAGAGGAAGTCTCATTCACTAAAAGACACAACGAACGCTTTAAAACCATGATTTGTGTACCTCAACACTCGCTTGGTAAAGCTGTTAGACTCCACATTCGCTTTTTCACACAGGTAATAAAAAGAGGGACAGGGAAACAAAGAAATAACGTAGTCGAATACTGTATATTGCTGAAAATCAAGAGAAATAAAGCTGGAATGCACTCGGGCAGCTTTTTTCATTCTAGTGCTTAACGCTTTAACGTAGGATTTAGTAGCTACACAGGTTTACAGTTCGGTTTCATATTTTGATCTGACCATCTCCATTTTAGCCAGCAATGCACACATTCTCAATATTACCCAAAGTAATGGCGATGGACAATGCCACATCTGCATCTGGTTAGCATATTACTCTGCCATATTTTTCTACCAACCTGTTTTTTTTCTTTATTTTCGAAGTACTGCAAGAAGCTGCAATAAACCTACTTTTTGATTTCAATCAAATGTGTAGGTAAATAAGATAAGCTGGTGCACTGCACAGTAACTTAACCTTATGTTGATGTTGGGTTCGTATTGGGTGTGATATGCATTGCATGCCTGAGTCATCGACAGAATAGTAAGCAAAGAAAACTCTTGTCATCTGATTTTCAGCCTATGCGCTCAAGTAATTCACAGAAATCTGTCATGGTTTGAATATTCATAAACTTAATGTTAGACCTCAGAGTGTAGGAAAAGCTAACGAACATAGTCTCTAAAATCCTAGGCTCAGTAATCATGCACAGACTAAGCAGAACTCGGGAGGAACAAACGAGGGAAAATCAAGCAGGCTTTAGGCCAGGTAGAGGGTGCATAGATCATATCTTCACTCTAAGCCAGATCCTAGAACAGACACACTTTTCGGTGTCCAACAATTGCCATATTTCTTGACTTGAAGGCGGCCTTCGACTCCGTGGATCGAGAGGCACTATGGCAATGTTTGACTGTGAAGGGAGTGCCAAGAAAGTACATTGCACTGATCAAGGCACTCTACTCAAACTCACGTAGCCGTGTACGGGCTTATGGGGGATTGTCATCTGAATTGATAACAACCAGTGTTGTCCGTCAGGGCTGTCCACTTTCCCCATTTCTGTTTAACTTCATCATAGATATGCTAATGGAAGTATCCTGAACTGAACTTAACGACTTAGGAATCGACTTGTTACCAGGGAATAGTCTTATGGACTTAGAATATGCAGATGACATAGTCCTGTTAGGATGCTGACAAAATACAGCAGAGTCTTCTGAACACCTGGAGCAGCAATCTTCGTATGTTTGGCATGCGATTCGCCCCTGTAAAATGTAAGAGGCTGCTACAGAACTGGACTACGTCAACTCCTAGCTTAGTGATAGGAAGTGAAGTGATAGAACATGTTGACCACTTCACCTATTTGGGAAGTTGTATCAGCACCAACGGATTGATTGGCGACGAAATCTCAGCAAGGATCCAAAAAGCTCGGGCTACTTTCGCTAACTTACACCATCTCTAGCGTAGGCGTGACATCCGGCTATCAACCAAGGGACGTGTGTACTGCTCAGCAGTTCGCTCCGTCCTTCTCTATGGCTCTGAAACATGGTCAATACGAGTTGAAGACATGAAAAGGTTGTCTGTTTTTTGATCATAGATGTCTACGATCTCTTTCTCACGTTAGGTGGTATAATAAGGTAAGTAATGTTGACGTTAGACATAGTGTTGGACAAAGAGGGAAAACCAATCGAAGAGGCTATAAAGTCACATAGATTGAGATGGCTAGGTCACGTGCTGCGCATGCCTAACTATCGCCTCCCCCACCCCGACGGGCATTACTAGCTGATATAGGTGCAGGTTGGAAAAGAGTAAGTGGTGGCCAAACAAAAACGTGGCATCAATCCATGAAATCCCTGACAGTTAAACTGAGCCAGGTAGGGAGATGCAGACTTCCAGGTTGGGACCCTCGGGACTCTAAGAATCAATGGCTGGAGACAATAGGTGACATGGCTCAAAATCGTTCTCAGTCATGGCGCAGATGTATTCAGTCTCTGTAATATTCAGTCTCATATTCCTTTCTACCATTACTCATTCTGTTTCACTCTTATACTTGTCAAAGCTTTATTGATTCTCTTCACTCATTTTTTTTGTCTACCTTTGTATGCTATTTGGAACGTGGCAACTCGAACGGCTGCACTTCGGTGCCAAGTTCTATGTTGAATCCAGACAGACAGGAAAAGCTAGGTATATATACATACACTTTCACACCAACGGATGAAGAATGACTTTTATTCCCTGGTTCGAACCACACAGCATAAGCAGGTGACACTGGAAGGCATCCACTGACTCACGCCTTGGTTGCGATGCCATACATACAGGAAAAAACCTTGATGTGGTTGTATTATCTGAGCTGGATAGTTAATTTGCGAAACTTTCATTAATTATACAGCTCAGAGAACACAACCACATCAAAATCATCCACCTGGGCTACAAATCTTTTCCATACGGGAAATAAAGAAAATTATGAAAGTCTACACACGCTGGGAATCCAAAATGCAGAACTAGACAATCGTCTTTGGTGAAGGTGCAATTGACTTCTCGTGGACATGCGTACCTCCGGCCAGGTTGCACGAACGTGCTTTGGTGATACAGCAATACAATAAACCAAACTCAGCAAACTTCACTACGTGACCATGGAAAATTGATGAGAGTAGACCTACCCAAGCTTTTTGACAATACGAATATCATCCAAAGTGACAGAGTCAGGATGAGCTGGATCGATAACACTCAAGACAGACTTGACAGCTATTGGTGCAAGGGAATCTGAATGTTGAGAGACAACTTTGGAGTTCAACGAAGTCGTTGCAACCTTTGTAAGTTCTTCTATATTTCCTAAGTCTACAGGAATGGACATTCCTTCGAGAATGCTACATGCTTTTACTGCAGCTTTTTGAAAAGCATCGGAGATAGATGTTGGGTGAATACCCTTGCTCAGCAGTTTTGAACAGGCATCGAGAAGACTGCCAGCGATAACAACCACAGTAGTAGTCCCATCACCTGCTTCAATATCTTGCGCCTTCGACAATTCAACCAACTAACAATTTTGGAGTAAGTAACAGAATTTACCATTCGGGCAGCAGGATGGAGCAACTTCATTTGTTTCAAGATAGTAGCTCCATCATTAGTAATGGTGACATCACCTTTAGCTTCTTGAATCTAAAGTCTAAATAAAACTGGTTGCTGTACCTACCATTTTATCCATTCCTTTAGGTCCCAAGCTTGTGCGAATTGCATCAGCAACAGCTGCAAACCATAAGCTATACGTAATGATAATATACCTTTGGCAGCAACTATGTTGCTTGATCTAATAGCTGCTGGCTTTTCTTTGTCTTCATACTGTCCTTCTTTCCTTCTGGAACCACCAGATGTGTTAGACGTTTGAGTCATGACTGCGAACGCGTGATAACCTAGACAATTTCGAAGGCGCCAAAATACAATAGCAACAGTCAAACTTCAATGGTAAATATCATTTCCAGTCTTCATGATTGGGAATAATAAGCTAAAGAAAGCCTTATATTAAACAACTGTCAATCTGTGAAAATTGAAAGTTATTACTAATGAGTTCACAAAATGCTCAGATAATGTACTATGGTAAACATTTATAAAATTATATTTGTAAAATCTCAGCGAAATTAAAATGATTAATTCCAACGTTTCGTTCCGCAATCTGGTCAGCGCTCAATTATTTTGCAAATATCCGGTCAAATCTTGATCACAGTTCATATGAATACTATGGTAAAGTTTTTATTGTCATAAAACTCAGCGCATGATTGGAATTTACAAATAGAAACGATTCTAAGGGATTTTCGGACTTATTACCGATCTACCTGTGAAAATTGGAGTTTCGGATTTAAGGGATATATGAAATGTACTCATAGTTTCATTTCTCAGCCCACTGATACAGAATGCCCTTTACAGTTCACAGATTATTAATGATGGTGTGATGAAGACCTTTATAAGTCTCCTTGGTTTTCTGCACAGCAAAATATCAACTCCGGCTATGGACGAATCAACATATGGTGTTGCAGTGGAGAATTCTACTAGTTTTTACTTAGATACCAGGGACGAACCCCCGACATGAACTATTTGACTCTAAGGTGATGCTCTCACCAGTGTTGTGCTGATCCTTAAAGGGCTGTGATGGTATAAGTCAAATAATGCGGCCTTTAGGTCCAGAGCTCCTGAATGAATGGATCCCTGAAATTAATGTAAAGCCACGGTGTGCAAACGTGTTCGCTTATTTGATAACCCTAACACGATTGGTTGACGCACTTCTGTTCACACGCAGAACTAGAAGGCTACAATAGTTATATATGGATGACATATTCATGTATGCGAACGATCCATTCAAGGAGTTGTTGGTGACCTGAGTGGAAATGTTTATTTTTCTGATATTTTGTCACACCTATTCGAGTCTCTACAGGAACTATTATTTCTTCATAGTCACAGATAGCCAACAGTAGACCTCCAAGAAACACTGAATCCAAATGTACAGCTTTCAAAGGAATGGGTCTTCATGAAACCGAAAAAGATTTGTTTTCTTCAGGAGTTCTCTCCGTCTCCTGGGACTGTCGGAAAAGTTAAATTTGGTAGAAATCATATGAACCAATGATTTAAGCAGGTCGAAAATAATGCAAACGAGTCTTCCCTATTTTAGCAGAAAATGAGTTTTTGTCCATGTTTGGGAGTTTCAGTAACGAAGGAATGTTTCACAGGGGGGAGGTTTGTCAGCCCGACCCCCTACCTTTCCGCCTCTCCAAACTTAGGACCAGTTACTAAACGAGGTGATACTGAGGACATATGGGGCGCTTCGTAGTTTTTCGTGTCGTCCTTGCTAGTGTGCCATAATCTTGTCTTCTTGAGAGTTCATCTTTCGGGGAATTTCACATAATTCACATAGTGTGTTGCTGAGGTGACATTTGTTTGTCATTTGCCGCATTTCCCACGTTTGCTGTTAATGCCACCATGTCATCCAAAACGGCTCGAATTGAATTTCGCCTCCTTCCTTGTTTTTCACCAATTTAAGCGAAAACCGATGGCTGCCGTCCGTTGGATAGGGAATACTGATGGTTAGACAATAATAATACGCATAGTTTCATCTGCTTCGGCTAAGATTATTCAGCAAGAGGAAAAGTTGAAACTGTAAGGTAGAATCATGACATAAATTAAGGGCAGCAGAGTTCAATAAGTGATTTTCGAAGGTGAAATGACTCAAAACATATTTATCCTGCAAATCTGTTGACCAACAAATCTCTTTGTTTGCAAATGTTAAACCTTACAGTATTAAGTACCATAAATTTTGCAGTTTGAAGAAGCTGAATTCATTTAAGATAATTAGTTCTTCCCCTTCACAGACTGTACTGGGCTGAACCATCAGTTATTATGATTATTTTTGATCGGCTCTTAGTGTGAATGATTAGCGAGGTACAGAAACACTTGCGTTTAAAACGAAGGACTCCAGGTTCAGATCTCAGCGCGAGTATTGTCACTCACTGGCATACAAGGGTGTCCATCTAATCGGCCCCAGGCACACTGAATTATGCAGCCCGTATTACGCTAGCCACCAAAATCCAAATAACAACAAGATTTACCCATACCATTTTTATGAGATTCCCACCTATTCTGTAGATGGAGCCTAAATTGGTCACAGATCAGGTATATATCCAAAAGGCAGTACGCCATTTTCACAGCCCTGAACAGACGATAGAAATTAAAGCTGCAAAATGTTTGTACCTGTTCGTCCGCTCCAGTCGGTTTTTAGTGCCAGCCATATATAGGGGTGAGATGATATCGGAGCTTTGTGGGCTAGAAGCAAGTACACCTAATGCTGACGGCTGTATGATGTGCCTCTAAACAGGTGGATCATATTAGTCTTCCAGTTCTAAATGCACCATGAAATTCTCCTTGCTTGGGTGGCTGCCTTTAAGATTTTTTCAGACATAGTCATCAGTTGCTTTGTAAGAACTAGGAGTAAAATCGGTAGTCAGATTCCGCATTGATCAGCATTGTTCAAACAGCACTTAGGTAGTTGTTCGTTCTACATGCACCCAAATGGATACTTTTGGATAAACTGCATTTATGAGGCGCATGAAGTTCACTAACCACTGTTTTCGGGATCCTTCCCAACCCAAGCACCTCGTTGAAGTGTTTGAACACTGTTAATGGAGTTTTATGGGCAGGAGAGTTTCATATTCGCGGAAGACAGAGAATGAGGAATAACTCTAAACTCAACCCCGATACGATGTCACAGGTTTACTTCCTGGTAATTGTAAGCCTTCAGTATCTCTTGCAAGTTAATTATCGAATGCCAACAGACCTATTATTCTGCCCATCGTTGTCACTAAGTAATTCCAGGCGTGAACACATTAATAAATAAGTAGAAACTAGAAAAGTCGAAACTACGATTAATGCTCTTTCACGGACAACTAAGTGATTTAATCATTACATGCAGGATATTAAGTGATACCACGATGTCAGGCGCATTTATTTTTTGTTTGGCTCCTGTCCGAACCCAATTATCTTACAACGTTGAGGCTTTGATGCCGTACGGTGAAGAAAAAACTACGAGCTAGATCAGAGTTTTGGGTTAGGAATAAAGGCTATGGTATCTTAAATTTACTTCGCTTCTCTTCTGCTCACCTTTGACCGTCTACAACAATGGTGGGCAGTTGAAGTTTTGATTTGCCGTAGGTATATACTGTCGTATGTGGTTTTGTGTGATCTTGTCATGCGTGGTTTGTGGACAACTGTGGTGAATATAAATGTTACATTTGACTGTTCTAATGTTGTCATACAGTTTCGTAAATAACTACATGGTTGTTTTTTCATAAACTATCGAGATTGGCTATCCGTTTCGGTGGCTATCAATGACTACGATCCCGGGCGTCCCTAATCATTTCTTGAGTTGTGTGTATGCGTGTGATATTTTCCTCGTTTATATTTCTCAATCTGTGTTTCTTGAAAATTAACTGCGGCAAGCTGTGACAATAATGGCCATTATTAGTACCTGGGTACCGATTAATAAGACTTTCTTTTGAAGTTCATCGTGGGTAATCGGTGCAATATAATGCTCACAGTACGTTTCTACTTCCAAGAGGAATATGAGAATGCATTGCGGGACTTTCAGAAAGTGAGGACCTTATAAATTATAGCAATGTGGGCACACACTTCTTCCATATTCAGAGGACAAATCAGCAGATGAGAGATACTCCATCAGAGTTAGGCGGTTTTATGGAATCTTAACCTAGTGTGTATATTTATTCTCAATATTTCTGTTCTTCAGACCACAATGGCGGCAAACGGCGGCCCGCTTAAACCTTGGGCTACCAAAATTTTGAGTGATAATAAACGTTATAGTGATATATTATCGCGCAATGTATCGGTTATCGTGTTCACGCCTATAGAGGCCTTATAAGCGTTTATTTTTGTGAAAGTAGATAATATATAACTGGTTTCAGGATTCTATAACCTAAAAAGTAACATTTTCCAGTATTGTGTTCGTATTAATGGAAGAACCTGTCATGATATCCCAGAGGATGTATTACTTAAAAAAATTGTCGTATATAAGAAATTTAGCATAGAAAGACTATTCTTCGCGTTTTAGAGCCGTAATGGTTTGAGGATATTAAGGTTGAAAATTAACTATAGGCAAGGGTTGTTTCCATAGCAGTTATTCTATGATAATGAGACATTTGAAGGAGAACTAGCCCACGTACACAAGTTAAATGTACGTTTTGAGGATGCCAAACACTTTTTTATCATCATCCGTGATGATTGAAATATTCCATATTACATGGAAGAGAGCATGCGATGAATAAGACAATCTGCTGAATATCCTGATGATCGTATCCATTTCGATGAAGTTTCTAGTTAAAATCGCTCAGGTGATTGCAATTTATAACCTAACTTATTGTGCCTGTAGAGATGTCATGCATTCCTTGTAAACAGCCGTTTATACGACATTTTACATTATTATTTGCTTGGTGCTACACTTCAGAAGAGGAACAATGTGTGTGACAGTGAAAACCGCAGAGGAATGCTGTCATGACCAAAGAATGAGAAAGGAGAATGAACCTTTTTCAGCAAAGGTAGGAAAATATAAAGCGTTTCACTTTTACATTACTTATTTCTCACTTCAACGATTTAAAAATTACACTTTATTCACTTACTTGCAGATGTTCGGTGAAGTCAGTCAACCTGGTCACAGCAACTACGCATCTCCGAAGTAATTACGAGAAAAAATTGTGTAAAGACATTCGCTTATTATTTTTCATTAAATATATTTAACATCCTGATTACCATACTTTTCTTATTCTATCTCAGTGAAATTAAATTTGTCATTATGACGAGATGGAGGCCTGACCTACCAATGAGACCTGAGAAAGTAATTGTAGGCATAATTAAACGTAAGCGAAACCGTACTAATATTGCTACAGCTCAACCTAT